GAGCGCCAAATGGCATAATATATACTTTTACTTGTATACGAAATTGGACGAAATAATACGTTGACGGAGTCCAACTATACCCTATACTTTTAATTGGAATATTAATATTATAATCTATATACATATATATTTATTTACACATATACATCACATCAAGTATATCAGTTTGGTAAATGTGTGAGTACATTATTGATACGTAGTCTTTTAAACCAAAAATAAGCTGGAGTTTCATTCACCGTTCGTCATGGGGTCGTGGGTTCGCCCTCGACTTGGTAATTTGCAAAGTGGTAATCGGCCTTCTCAAATAAGTAGACCCCATTAGATTCATTCCACCGCCGGCGGTCCTTTGGCTAACCAAATTCATTTTTAATGCCAGCACGTGCGCAAAGACATGAAGGCTACTGCCGAGGGCTCGTAAACAATGCCAACAGTCGATGGAATTGGGTCTGGGCGTGGTCCTGGTCCTGGCCATGGCACTGAAGGACTACGCGGGCGAGGATTTCAATTGAAAATTCATTATTGTGCCAGGCATTTTTGTGTGTTTCTTTTTTATGTGTTGTTCATCTTGTTTGCCAATGCTGTTTTTTGCGGTGCTTAAAAAGGAAGAATAATATTTATTTTATTTACCTTAGTCCTCTTACCACCACAGATTGACACACAAAATCGTTTGTATTTGCACATATACTTACACTTCCATACTTAGGCTATGAATATATGTTTGTATTTCATACTTAGTGGTAATATTAGTTTGCAATTTGTGGCCAGGGCAAGGGGTGGAAGAGTGTGTTTCAGTAGTAACGTCTTAGGCCGAATTCCCCTTTAATTTGGGCTATGAACTGAGTCTTCTTCTAGTGTTGATTCCTCCCTCAGTGCTGGCGCGTGGCGGCAAAAGTCATCCCCATCTCCAATTGGGTTGGTGGTTTTTTTTACAAGTATTACGGACAAATTGTAGGCACTTGCTTCGACATCGGATGATAAATGGCACAAGAAACGGCAAATAATGAAAATCATCTAAAATGAACACAAACAAGCGTCCAAGTGTTGCCCCTGCCTGTCTCTATGTGCCCCCACATAGAAACATATATATATATATGTATATATGGGGATATATATACGGATGTATATACGAAGAAAGTTCCTGTTTCGTTTAACTAACTATTGAAAACACTGGCATTTCCAAAAGAACTTAACCCATACTTAAGCTGCCGGGGTATACGAATACAACTGTGACAACCGGCGATGGTTACGTCGGGTTTTGTCGGGGGTGACTGGCGTTCTGTTTATTTGTGTGGGCCTGTGGGCCTGTGGGTATGTGTATATGTGCTTATGCACTTTCCGTAACTAATTTATTTATTTATTTCATATTATCGGCCTTATGCTGTGAACCGTTTGTTTCTATTTAAAATATTCAAATACAAGTTTTTCCCAAATGTTTGTGTACATATATAATCACATACATATACACATGATGATTGCAAGCCCAACACAAATGTTTGATGGTTCATTTTATGGTTCGAACCAATATCTTCGTCGATTCGGTTCATAGAACTGATTTTCACTATGACTAAAAATTTTGGTTTAATCGTATATTTACTAAATTAATTAAATCCTGAGCCCATTGAAAATGGATTAAAAGGGTCCATTCCTATTTTTATACCCTGAACTAAAAAGGGTATAATGTATTTGTGCAAATGTGTGTAACAGGCAGAAGGAAGAAAACTCATAAAGTATATATATTCTTAATCAGCATCAAAAGCCGAGTCGAACTAGCCATGTCCGTCTGTCTGTCCGTCTGTCCGTTCGTCTGTCCGTATGTATGAACGCAAGGATATCAGAACCTATAACAGCTAGAGACTTGCAATTTTAGCTGTAGGTCCCCTGAACTAAAAAGGGTATAATGTATTTGTGCAAATGTGTGTAACAGGCAGAAGGAAGAAAACCCATAAAGTATATATATTCTTAATCAGCATCAAAAGCCGAGTCGAACTAGCCATGTCCGTCTGTCTGTCCGTCTGTCCGTTCGTCTGTCCGTATGTATGAACGCAAGGATATCAGAACCTATAACAGCTAGAGACTTGAAATTTTAGCTGTAGGTCCCCTGAACTAAAAAGGGTATAATGTATTTGTGCAAATGTGTGTAACAGGCAGAAGGAAGAAAACCCATAAAGTATATATATATTTTTAATCAGCATCAAAAGCCGAGTCGAACTAGCCATGTCCGTCTGTCCGTTCGTCTGTCCGTATGTATGAACGCAAGGATATCAGAACCTATAACAGCTAGAGACTTGAAATTTTAGCTGTAGGTCCTCCTAGTGCCTGCGCAGATCGAGTTTCTTTCCGATAATTGATAACTTACTCCGTTTCCAAGCAATCGATATCGTTTTTTTAGCAAATTGGGTATATAATAAGAGATAGAGTAGAATAGAATATATATATCAAGTATATTTCATTTTATACTATCGTCACCTCCCTGCTACTACCTCATAGCTATAAATCGAGTTAATATCCCAACTTGTATTGCCCACCAATTTAAGCTACAATTTTAATGCAATTTACTCTTCGAGAATACGCAAATATTCTATGGTACAATAAGATATACTGTAGAAAATTTAATTTAGATCGCTTCGGAAATGTTACGTTATGTTATGTGTTTTGATTGCCCACGTGGTAGCAGCGGCAAGCGCAAATTCCAAGAATTTCTGTATACATGTACACACACACATTCATGCACGTCTGCTTCGAATTCGATTTTTGCTCAACAAGTCTCAATTATCGGTGTGGCTGTTCAGAAGAGGCGGTGGCTAATAGTGTGGTTAGTTGCGAGTTCGAACCCTGTCAAGGGAACATTTTTTTAAACTATATTTATTACTACAAGCAGGCGCGTAGCGCGAGCTGCATTTGGTGTTGGAATAAGAGAGTTCAGGGTATCCCTTAGTTGAGAGCTCCAGACTAGAACATCTTACTTGTTGAGGTTGCAGCGTTGGTTTTGTCCGTATTAAAATTAGAATCAGGAAACATGGAATAGGGTATTGGAGGCTATATGTATATTTTTGACCGCTTCCTTTATATTTATTTAGACAAAATCTCTGCTGGTTCAGCTGTTGAAGCATATACATTTTCAGCTGTGTATTTACCGCATAGGACTCGTACGAGAAAACATAACCGAAACCGACGAAAAGGAACCCATTGAAGCCAACTTGCGGAAGCTATTTGCAAATGTACAAGTCAATATTTGAATTGATGAGTGTGTTTATGTGTGCATGTGTTTTTATGCTTATGTTGCTGTCGCAGAGTAACGGAAGTCATCATTATAAATAAAATTTTAGTTCAAAGCAAATCGAAAAAACAATCATTTGTTGTTTTTACATCGCAAACTGTCGCTGCTGTAATGTGCTCTCTCTCTCTGCATCTTGGCCAGAGCTCTCTGTAGATAAGTTGAATAACGAATGGGGATTATACTGACATACCCTGAAGAATTTCTTCAATACAACAGATAAATCAATGTGTACTCATTCAGAGCCAGGTTCCTAGATATCCCACCTCGAGTTACCTGTAAAGAAAAGCTGCAAGCCCAAAAACATGTTCATTAGTTCGGCTTACGGTTCGAACCAACATCTCGTTTTGACGAAAACGTTTTATATAGATATACAAATATTGCCTGGCCTTGTCCGTTCGTTTTAGACTAAACAACATAAATTTGTAAAAACCAATTTTTTTTTTAACAAGATCCATTTAAAAACAGGTAATAGGTTCTAGTCGGGAGCTCCAGACTAGGGGATACCCTGAACCCTCTTCTTCCAACATCAAATGCATATATATATATTTTATTTTAGAAGCTATATGTCAAGTTTGGTGACTCTAGCTCTTATTATTTACCAAAATTGCCCAAAAAACAGGATATCGATATCGCTTTTTATCGATTGCTTGGAAACGGAGTAAGTAATCGATTATCGGAAACAAACTCGATCTGCGCGGGAGCTAGGAGCATCTACATCTAAAATTTCAAGCTCTTATAGGTTCTGAGATCCTTGCGTTCATACATACGGACAGACGGACAGACAGACGGACATGGCTAGATCGACTCGGCTATTGGTGCTGATCAAGAATATATATACTTTATGGGGTCGGAGATGCTTCCTTCTGACTGTTACAAACATTTGGATTTTGCACAAATACAATATACCCTTATACCCATTTTTAATGGGTTCAGGGTATAAAAATACTCTGTAACCAGAATATACCCACTCATTGTGACACGGTCAATGTTGGGTAATATCAGCTACATTTAAATAAATGTTCTTTGCCGTTATTTTCCTTGGGGAGCATGCAAGTGTTTTTATAAATATGATGCGTAAAGTTTTGCTGTAACTTTTTTTAATTTTATTTAAAAAAAAAAATAACAAAAATATATACACATATAAATATAACTCGGTTTATTTCCACATTGCCTGAATGAAAGTCGTAGTCAGCCACAGTGCCCACTAGACCACAAAAGATTTGCTGTCGCACATCTACGTGCCAAAGGCTGCTAAGGCCGCAATATCAAGATCTGGCAAGAGATACAGTGAGGCGAATGCGGAGGAGGTGGCGGGGGAGCTCCCTGAAACGCATAAGCGGAAGTCGATGCCGAAAGATTTTGCTAAATATAAATATGCTCGTGTGATATGTATACTCCGGAAAGAACGACCCGAACAGGCAGAAGTTTTATTTTTGTTTTCATACCCTCTACCCATGAACATTTTAAGAAGGTGTTTAAGTTCCCTGTAACATTTTTTTTAGAAATCTTATAAATATCCTTAGCTTAGATTTGGAAAACAAAAATGGATTTCATCTAACTTTGTGATAATATAAATTAGAAAAAACTCCAAAAGCTTTCACTAATTCGAGCTAAAACTGAAAAACAATGTTTCTTGTTATTTAGGCTGCAAACCGTAAAAGAAGCACACATTAATCTATATTTAATTTTATTTTGCTAATAAATATACCGAATACTTTTTCAGCATGTCGGGAAAACGCAAATCGACACCAAACAAATTTGATGCCGACTCAAATAGCTCGCAGGGATTAGAAGGAGCATCCGCTGAGACTGGACGACAATTCCAATTTAATCTGAACGATATTGCAGTCTCGGCTGGTAAAATGCAAAAACAGATTCTCAATAATAACAATAACTATAATGATAACGAGGTCGTGAGCTGTAATGTGAAGAGTAGGACCGAGTGCGACATTATTTGTAATTCGGAAGTTGCAGCAGTAGTGGTTGGCGACGGCGAGGGTGAGGGCGAGAGCGATGGCAAGGGCGAGGATTATATGCGAATGGGCTTAGGACTTGGCCTGTGCGCAGTTTTGGAAAGCGATGGTGAGCACACTGATTTGGATATTGACATAAGGAGCATAAGCCCAAGAGTTACTTCCAATGCCAGTGAAGACGAGTCGGATATTGACAATGTTAGTCATGTAAGTGCTATCCAACATTTTTGAAACGCTTCACATAAATAGTTAAATCGTAGAATACAATTTGGTTCTGACTAATTTTTTGTGTTGCAGTCTTCCCATCATACTATAACAACGGCGTCATCTGCAAAGAAGCGTATTAAAAAAACATCTAAGTTACGTCTACTTAATGGAACTTCAAAGATGGCGCGAGCTCAACAGATTAGCATATCTGGGAGTCCAGGAGCACAGGAGCAAAACCCAATAAACGCTGATGCTTCGGGCTCATTTCCGGTTAATTGCCCCGATGGAGAAGCGATCCAACGATTTGTTAACACAGCACAGTTTAACGAAGACGACATTGAGGATACGAATCTCACTTTTTTCAAGAGCGAATACAGTACATTGATAAAACAGGAACTTAATGATAAACTGGAACCTCCACCACCTAAGCTGAGTGCTATCGTCACGAAAGATGAACTTATGGAGCACGATGTCATCGGCAAAGAGCAGCGCATTTTCCATATACCATGTCGAAATTCAGCTTCTACTATTAAGAATTTTGATGGAGAACATTATTTTCCCAGCCGAACGGAGCTTCCACCATTAATTGTTCCTCCCCCTGTATCTGACACTTTTGGCAAGCAAAGCGTTTTAGAGGACGGGCCGTTGCCGAAGTCCACAAGGTGAGCTCGAAATAATAAACATATATTAATGTGAAAGAATTTCTGCAATCAAATTTTATTTAACCCACAAAATTAACCCACGAAATTTTATTAAACCCACAAAAGCTCGACTTATTTTATTTAAAATAAACACTTTGCCGCATTGCATTGAACTCATAGTTAATAGAGGCAAAATATAATTGTGGGATCCAATAGTGAACCTGTTCCGGCGGCCTCAAACTTATTAACTGTTTCCTACTGCGTTACCAAATGTTGTTGACGGTTTAAAGTGTCCAGCCTCAGGTTTGTGTCCATTCAACCCAATCAAATTGGGTTCACGTGGATATTGATGTTTAGCGGTCGTAATTTTCCGCCTTAACTATATTCGCAATTTCCGTTTGTAGCATTCAATTATTCAGAAACAGTCTACTGGTGAAACGAACAAAATTTGAACAACGACTCAAGTGGGTCGCCGGCGGGCAATCAGATGGCACGGCGGACGTGCGAATAGCGCATAGTGCTTAAATTTGTGTAGGCTTAAAAGTAAAATCACCACAGATATTAGCTTAGATACCCGGCGTTCCACGCTTCTCAAGTCAAAATTGTGAAACTATTTTCATTGCTTGAAAAGTAACAAAAAAAAACAAGAGGTTCTAGTCGGGAGCTCCCGACTAGGGGATACCCTGAACCCTCTTCTTCCAACATCATATGCATATATATATTCTATTTTAGAAGCTATATGTCAAGTTTGGTGACTCTCGCTCTTATTATTTACCAAAATTGCCCAAAAAACAGGATATCGATATCGATTTAGTAAGTTGTCGATTATCGGAAACAAACTCGATCTGCACGGGAGCTAGGAGCACCTACATCTAAAATTTCAAGTCTCTAGCTCTTATAGGTTCTGAGATCCTTGCGTTCATACATACGGACAGACGGACGGACGGACAGACAGACAGACAGACGGACATGGCTAGATCGACTCGGTTATTAATCCTGATCAAGAATATATATACTTTATGGGGTCGGAGATGCTTCCTTCTGCCTGTTACATACATTTGGCTTTCGCACAAATACAATATGCCCTTATACCCATTTTTAATGGGTTCAGGGTATAAAAAAAGATTACTCTTTTACAATATTATTTCTGCAAGTTGTTCTTTATAATTTTTGTCTGTCAAATAATTTCAACAGAAATTGTAAATACATAATTCTGCAGTCATCAAACACAAAAACTAAGTAGACAAACCTATAGACCCAAGGTAAGAAATGGTTACTGCAAAAAAAATTAACAGCAGAGCAAAGGAATTGAACCAATGTATTATACATTGATTTAGTGATAGGCGTCTTTGCTAGTTTTAGGTTGGTGTGTAATTTTAATGAGATTAGATTCGGCAATTTTCAAAAAGGAAGTTGAGTGTAATCGAATAATCACAGACGCATTGATATGTCCATAGAATCGGCATAATTTTTCTGTGGTTTGCCGTTTACTGAAATCGCCAAAAATGAAAAAAAATAGCAAGTTAGAGGGTCGAATCGGGAGCTCCCGACTAGGGGATACCCTGAATTCTCTTATAACAACACCAAGTGATGCTCGCTCTAAAAATTGTTTGTATAAATGCCCTTACAGCCACACATACATAAATATAACAGATTCAAAAGCAAAGTAGTCACTCTCGTTAAACCCAAATAAATATTGAAGGATTCTATTTTGAAGAAAACTTAACTTATTTGGAAAGTTTAACCGATTTATAATTGATTTTGTCTTAATGAACGAAAATTTCATTTGTTTATTTTGATTGGTTTCACTCCAGAGAGAATAGCGCGTTGACTGCAAGAGGACAATCACAGCGATCGCATGGGAAGGACCGGACTGTCTCCGAAATGATTCAACATCTGCAGCTCATCCGAAGTAGATTGATTAACCAGGTAACAAATTAGCAAATATTTTTTGGCGTTGTCCAGACCACCCATTTCTCATCCATGTGTGTATTTTCCAAAATGTTATCCATGACTTTTTAACAACGGATGCAAATCGTGTTTTAAACGAATTCGATTCCAAAAAAAAAACCCAAAAAATATGGGTTTAAGCAAAAATAGTTTTTTTTTATATGTAAATCCTTATATATAAAACTGTTTATGCTGACTGACTGATTGGTGATCAACGCACAGCCCAAACCGTAAGAGCTAGGAAGCTGAAAAGGCCGGGCTATACCCGCTAGTATTATATATAAGACAAGTAATTTGTTCGAAGGGATAAAATGTTTGTATACATGTGTGTGTGTGGGCGTGTGTGTGTTAGTGTGTGCATGCATGTATGTATGCATTTATGTATGTATGCATGCATGTTTGTTTTCTAATACCAAACGCAGACCAAGCCTATTTTTCGCTGTGCTGCAAATTAAAAAAAAACGAACTTCTACCAAGTGCTCTACTCCTCGATTCTCAAGGATTCAAGTAGGCCTTGCTGAAATTTAACAAGGCAGGAAACGTTGGCCTCAGTGGAGGAGGCGGTTGAGCAGGAGGCAGTGGCGCAGGTGGAGGTGGAGGGGGTAAGTAGATGTAAGTAGATATGTAAGTAGATGTATGTATGTATGCATGCATGCATGCATGCATATACTGTACAAGCAGGGGTCCCCATTTCCACCAAGGAGGGATGAATTTCCAAAAGCTGTAAGTCAAACATCAGATGAATTTTTACAAAGAAGTTTGAAAATGTTTTTGAAGCCGATCGGTAAACCAAAAACTTTCATACAATAGTTTTTCACTAATTAAAAAAATAAAAATACTTTCCCCGGTAGGGCTCGAACTCGCGACAGACCGCACCACTTGCTATGCCTCTACTCAGCAGCCACACCAAAAATAAAGTACTTATGATAAAGCAAGTAAAAGGTTCTAGTCGGGAGCTCCCGACTAGGGGATACGCTGAACCCTCTTCTTCCAACATCAAATGCATATATATATTCTATTTTATAAGCTACAGACGGACGGATGGACAGACAGACGGACAGACAGACAGACGGACATGGCTAGATCGACTCGGCTATTGATGCAAATGTGTTCCCAATTGTATAAGCGGACGTGGCGCATTAGGACATTTGGGATAAGCCAAAATCCTTTGGCTTCGACTGGCTTTCACATTTCATCTTTCAATTCTGGGTGGACTCAATGATGTACGTGTGTATGCATTAACATATATGTGCATATGTACAAATGTATGAATGTTTATGAATGCCTTTTCTTCTTTGCTTTTATTACATATTTCATTTTGCTGTTTTCTATTCATTACATTCATTTTGCATTTCCCAGCTTTTGTACTAACACAAAGTTGTATTATTCTGTTTTTCTTTATTTTCCGCTTTTCTCCATTGTGTACGTGTGTGTGTGAATGTGTGGTCTCTGTGAGCATTCTATTCCATTCTGCTCCTCAGAATCCTCTTTCAGTTTTTTTTGTGCCATGCTTAAATTTTCTTTTGAATCGCTTTTGTGCTATGCTATGGCATTCAAGCTTTGAACAATAAGCTTTTCTTTCCGTTTTCACGTTTTCCTCATTCTTTTATTCGCCCTGTCCATCGCTCTGCCGACAACTGACGACTGGAGCAATTATTCCTCTTTCTTTTCTGCTCCCCCTTGTAGCTTAAAAGCTTTAGATTCTACAGGGTGCCTACCTCAGATAAGTTATGGATTCATGTATCTGCACCTGTAAAATTAGATCCCCTGTAAACTTACAATTATTTAAATTCAACATTTTAATATGGTTGACCCGAATTGAATATTGAAAGTATCTACCATTACAGCAATTGTTGGGAATTTATTTGCAACCGTGCAAAAATAAGGAACAGTTTTGTTTAATGGAATGGGGTTGTTAATTTACTGTAAAATAGTATGCTATGGAAAACAGGCCATTATGAGGAATATTTATTCGAGCCTCTAACGAGTATTCATAGCGCTCCCACCAAGATAAAAGTTACGTTTCATTGAGTCTTAGCTCGTTGTAATCCTTCGTATTGTCGTTGAGGTATTCAACCCACTCTCTAAGAACGAAAATTTGAATGAGGCAGCAGATCCATGGATGATGAGTGCGCAACATCAGCGCGTTGCGAGAATGCAGAGCAAAGGCTAATCGGCTTGAAATCACACTAATGTGATGTTTATCTAGCAGATTTGCTGTACAGAATGGCCCAAGCATGATGGGCCAAAGATTATCGAATGTAAGTGTAACAAAATCTGCATTGCCACCTCCCAGAGCGGTTTAGTTATGGACCGTTTGGCCTACGTGCTAGGGGTTGTTTCCTTAGCGCACAGTAAAAAGACAACCGGGTCGTTGTCGTTGCCGCAAATTGATAGCGCCCGTAAGATAAAATCGGAATACCAAGTACACCAAAGTTCCTCATTAAAAACACATTAACACATTTGGTACTGGACCCATGTCGACAACTTCGACCCATTATCTTTGAAACCGGTTTTGGCCACCCATCACATATTTTACGTTGAATTTGCCTTTTGTCAAGGTGTAGCACTCAATATTAGAAGTAAACTTGACATCTTATGCCTATAAGAATTTTAACAAGTAAGAGGTTCTAGTCAGGAGCTCCCGACTAGGGGATACCCAAGACCCTCTTCTTCCAACATTAAATGCATATATATATTCTATTTTAGAAGCTATATTTCAAGTTTGGTGACTCTAGCTCTTATTATTTACCAAAATTGCCCAAAACACAGGATATTGATATCGATTTTTATCGATTGCTTGGAAACGGAGTAAGTAATCGATTATCGGAAACAAACTCTATCTGCGCAGGCACTAGGAGCACCTACATCTAAAATTTCAAGTTTCTAGCTCTTATAGGTTCTTAGATCCTTGAGTTCATACATATGGACGGACGGACGGACGGACAGACATACGGACAGACGGACATGGCTAGATTGATGCTGATCAAGAATATATATACTTTATGGAGTCGGAGATGCTTCCTTCTGCCTGTTACATACATTTGGATTTTGCACAAATAAAAAGATTGAGTATATAAAAAGATTGAGTATCATATATGATAGTGGCAGACATCAGATATTATCCATACACCGTTAATATAGTACTCTTGTGTTCTTTATAAATTTTTATAATGTATTAGGATCACAGTAAAGCTTGTTATTATACGTGCCAGAGCCGGCCGAAACGGTTCACTTTATCATATAGCTTTATATCTTATCATTATTTAGGACCTCACTATGCTCCTACCTATCAACATCGGAATGCTATTCCATATAATAGATCTATACGATGAACCCTCAAAAATTGGGTGCATTGATATCTTTTCCTTTTTTACAATGTATGATGTATCTTTACACCATATTCAATTAGTAAGTTCGCTATTCAGCTGCTGGCTTCCGTTATATAAATTTGAATGTTTTAATTTGTACAATTGTTGCATGTACCCAATTGGCTGTATTGTTTTTGTGGGTTACAAATGCGTTTGAATACGTAGATACGTAATAATATGTGTATATATAGATACACACACACACACACATATATATATATATATCCATATCTATATACGCACATACACTCATTTGCAATCCAGCAAGTCTGGCATATACACTCTCTTAAATACCATGTGCTGCACCATACTTACCTATGTATTTGCATGTAACTTACCAACAAATAACAGCAATGTCGGCAAGTTCGTGAGTAATGCACTGGTATGGGTGTCTGAAAGCATTTTCATAGGTCTGCCAATAGAAAACAAATAAAATTTTCCGTCTCACTCAAATGTGCCTTGTTGTTTTCTTCCTTGTGTGCGTGTATGTGTGTGTGTGTAGAGTAATCACAAATACACAAAGTAATAAAAGCTCTGTATGAATGTAGGTAAGAGCCTTACATGCCATAATGTGTATATCCACATAATACAGTGTTGTCTCTCATGTAGCATGAGGGAAGATATTAACCCGTGCATACATAAAACTCAACATATTAACATTTTCTCTAAAAGCTCCGCCATTAGCAACATCTAACGAGAAAGAAAGGCTATCTTCGGCACGCCGAAGATCTAATACCCTTGCAAACCCAACCTTTTCATAATGCTTATAGGGCTTTGCCCGTATCTAAGAAGCATAGGGAAAATAGGTAATGCCGAGTTTGGTCAAGATATCTTGATAAACAAAATGTTTTTTCATACAAAAACTTTATTTTCGACCGATCGTTCCTATGGCAGCTATATGATATAGTGGTCCGATCTTAATAGGATTTTGCATATATATGAGGACTTTAGTAAAACTAATAATTGCTTAGTTTGGTCAAGATATATTGATAAACAAAATGTTTTTTCATACAAAAACTTAATTTTCGACCGAACGTACCTATGGCAGCTATATGATATAGTGGTCCAATCTTAATAGGATTTTGCATATATATGAGAAGTAAAGTAAAACTCATAAATTCCGAGTTTGGTCAAGATATCTTGATAAACAAAATGTTTTTTCATACAAAAACTTTATTTTCGACCGATCGTTTCTATGGCAGCTATATGATATAGTGGTCCGATCTTAATAGGATTTTGCAAATATATGAGGACCTTAGTAAAACTAATAAATGCCGAGTTTGGTCAAGATATCTTGATAAACAATATGTTTTTTCATACAAAAACTTAATTTTCGACCGATCGTTCCTATGGCCGCTATATGACATAGTGGTCCGATCCAGCTGGTTTTCACATGTGTGCTGCGTGCAAAAGAAAGACGGACTTTCATTTCATTAAGGTAGCTTTAAAACTGAGAGACTAGTTCGCATAGAAACAGACAGACGGACATGGCTCTATCGACTCGGCTGTTGATGCTGATCAAGAATATATATACTTTATGGGGTCGGAGATGTCTCCTTCTATGCGTTACACATTTCACGACAAAATTATAATACCCTCTGCAAGGGT